GTTTTGTGGTATGCGTGATAGCGCGAGCTATTGTAGTGCTACTACTGAGTTTCTTAATCAATATAACCCATATAAACGGCATGAACATTAGTATGAAAGAGCAGGTTATCCTCATCTACGGTGGACTCCGTGGAGCTGTGGCCTTCTCATTGGCTATTCTTATTGACTACAATCACCTCGGAAACGACGGAGAAAGCACGCGAAAAATACTAATCACGGCCACACTGTTTATCATTTTGGTAACAGTGGGCTTTATGGGCCTGACCATGAAACCCCTGGTCCGCCTTTTCAAAGTCAAGCTTGCCGGCGAAAAGAGCCTGAGCCTCTTTGGGGATTTGAACAATACCCTGCTGGATCACACCCTCGCCGGTGTTGAGGCCATTATAGGTTCAAATGGTCGTAATCGAGCACGTGAATTCTGCAGCCGTTTGGACGACAAGCATTTCCGTCGATGGTTGCAGCGAGACCCTGAGACGCACGACCAAAAGATTATCAAGACCTACGAAAAGATTGCCTTGAAGTTGCACTATGCATCTATTCACCCAGCAGAGTCCTCAAGTTACTTGCGTGATCTTCCGGAATCTCTGAGGCGCCAGCATATGACAGCGAGTGAAAGCATGCTCACACTGCCGTCTATTGTGACTGCAACCTCGGATCTGAATTTACAGGAGTTTTTCGTGAGGCACTCGGTCAGTGCTGCCTCGCTGCCAAGTAAAGACACAGAAGATAACCACAAGCATCGTCATCACGGTGATCGCAGAAGGGCTGTACACTTTGATGCAGATGCTGGTGAGGAGAAGGAGGGGGTCGAGGTGACAGGATCCTTCAGTCCGAATTGGCGTCGACGCACAAGTCTGTACAACGAGGGTAGAGACATAGAGGACTTCCAGGACACCTTCCGCGACGTCATGAAAGCCAAGACGCGAGTGCTGAAAGAGAGCCGCCAGCGACACAGCAAGACGCCTATGGATCTCGAAACTCGGCTCAACACTTTGGCCAATCAGCGAATTCCGACACGGGAGGAATTGAGCAAGTCGAGGGAGACGGTGCTTAGTGAGGTTGCTAACGAGGATGAACACAATCGGGACACCGTGGAGTACGAGAATGATTCTGACGATTCAGGCGAACCTATTGTCATCCCAAAGAAGGACTATCCCCAAAATAATACACCTTCGGACAAAGTCAATTTTGACCTCGGAGGTGAACAACTTTGAGCTGGTGGATTAATAAAGTGCCTTTGGGGCATGGGCCAACTCCAGGCACCGATCTCATGCAAAGTTTTATCCCCACGCATGCGCATTCATCTCAATCTGTATATTTTATATCCAATACGTCCGAAACTGACGGCAAGGACGCATGTAAATTGTATAGTTTCTTTCAATTTTTTGACCATACGCCAGTTCTCTGCACATGCTCGTTTTTATCTTAAGGGACTTGGGGGGAAAGCGACGCAAAAAAGAGTGTTTATCTTTGTTAGAAGGTGTACATTCAAAAATTTGACAACTGAAAGTGGTTTTTCATTGAATTGCAGGGAGAAAATGCTTAAGCTAATAGCTAGAATAAGGTCTAGTTTTACGGTTTGGAGTATTGTTAGTGGTATTTCGAAGAATGGCGAAGTCTATAACAGAAGCTATCACAATGAGTTGAGTTAATAGGGAAGGCCCTGGCTGCTGTGATCTTCAGGCTCACTTCCTCGTAAGAAGCGAAGAAGTAGGACAACACATAGAAGGAATAGTTTACTGTGTAAATAAGTGATGGAGAATAGGTAGGAGGAAGTTAACTGTCGGACGGGCATGCGTCCGCTCCAGATAGGGGCGGCATCCAAAGTGTGTGACTGTGACAGCCGTCGAGAGTCAGGCACGGGGAGAGGATTATCTAAACCGGATTGCGGTAGACAGGCTGGTGCATGCGCCTTAGTTAGCAGCCGCAACAGGTTAAGCATTGGCAAAGTTAACGGCACCTGTGATTGGTTGTCCCGGACGATGGAAAACAGCAATCACGGGGCCTTTTGTGTAAGGCGGTACCGAAGGTTCAAGCTGCTGCAGGGTTACTACAAGTGTTAGGTGATTGGGGGCAGGGACGCTGATCACGAACTGCAACAGTATCCCCTGTGCTAGACCGAGGGCATCCTGTAGCTACGTCGGAGTGTTAGTTCATGTCTTAAATACCTGGGTAAGCAAACGGTCAGGAAAATGAACATTGCGTCCACTATGGGTAGACCTAACGCAAAGATCCTCAAAATGGCCATCCGAAGGAATCGTTATAATCGGAACAACAAAACATCTCTGAGTTAAAGGGACAGTTAAGTTGATCTTTGAACCCAAGAGCTGACGAAATTGTTGTCTGTTCCTAACCGAGGAACATTCAGTGTCTGTGCTGCGAAAAGACATATCCAGAATGGGGTATCATCGCGGGGTTGGTTTGAGCCGCTCTGAAAGCTGAATAAAACCAGATTCTTTTCGTTAGGTTGTCAGCCCCTGAGGCTTAAGGCTATAAGAGAGTCCACGAAGAGAGTTTAAACCTGGCCACTTCACGAAGAGTCCAAATCACCAGATCAGAGGTATGCACAGATACCTAGACTGTACGTACGCGGCAGGAGGACCAACTCCCTGCTCAAGGCACATCAGCGTTAATTTCATCTTTAAATTTCTCCTGCGGGATAGGTTAGGTTGAGCAAAGGAGCCGTCGCTTTCGAAAAAGATCTGGAGAATATATGTCCTGGTTTGGGAATGGTCATTCAGTGTCCGGAAACAATTCAATCCTCGCACATCGGGCAAATCTGGCTGTCCTTTGAACGCTGGACTGGGTCTTCCAGGTAGTAGGTGGGATTCCCATTATGCACCAGAAGTAAAAAGGCCTATTAGCAGTTAGACGAAAAAAAAGTTTCTTTCTACATTGAAGAATGTGGTGCAGACACTGCCCTTGCCATAACCGGAGGTCAATTTGCCAAGCATCTCTATGCAGATGGCTCTGGCGTTATGCTGGAGATAGGTTTTATTCGCTCTGTTCTTCCATCTCTCGCTGTATAGACGATTACAGGGTTCCCAATACCCACTATGTCCTCCCATACCTTAAGGAACTCGCACTAAATAAACCAGCACAGCTCCTGGTTGTGCTGTGCCATCTAAAAATCCAGGTAATGTACGCGCCAGGTGCTGAATGTTTTTATGCAGTCAAAGACACAAGGAGAAATTTCAATGATTCTTTTTTCAATTGAAGAAGCATTATTTTTCAAGTCCGCGCCTACCCACCCCCATTTTTATAGGATAAGTATTTTGGTGACACCCAGTTAGCGTTAGAAGGGCGTTTGCGCCTCCTATCAATCACTGTTTCCAGTCTCATTACCACTTGGCGCAACAACAACAATAACTGTTCATTTGGGTGGGGAAATAGTAGAGAAGATGAGGTCAATACTGGCTAGATATAATATAATATATGAATATATGAATAGATGGGCTTCGCCGATCCGGTAGAAGAACAATTAAATTCCGCTTCACTTCGGAGCTCACAATTAGAGCCCGCGTAGGCAGTCACATAGCAACTATGAGGATAAGGTGGAATGGATCCGACAAAACAAAGAGAGACTAGAATGATTATTTCTGGCTTGTTAGCCGTTATCCGCCAGTCATACCCAATCTCAAGGGCTGGCATTCCCGAGATTCGAAACCAGACCTTTGGTCATTGAGTTTGCAACTCTACCATAGCACCACAGGCTTTATGCTTTGTCGGTTGGGATGGGAAATATGAAGAATAGATGGACTTCGCCGATCTGGCAGAGGAAGAATTATGTCCCGCTTCGCTTAGGAACTCACAAGTGAAGCGGAATAAGCTAAAGTCAACCCTGGCGGCCACCATTCAGTGGGCTTTTTTTGGCAGTGAGGATGCAGCAGAAAAGGGGGACAATGGAGTAGGTGCTAACGGTTAGCCAGAAAGAGAAGCAACCGCTAGGTCAAACCTACGTGGATTGGGAAGCCAGAAAAAGGAAGAATTTGAACAACTGCTATACAACGAAGCCAGATGCAAGAACACACCATGAAATTGAGTCCTGCAGAAAATATAGGCCGTGGGTGCTTCTCCCTTGCCTACTCCGACTGTATCCAGCAGTCACGCGTACGCCAAAACCAGTGATAACAAC